AATTGTACGGGGAATATGCTGCGTCACACGATAATTGCTATTACGAGTGCACAGCCTCAGTACCGGATGTGATCGATTCGGATGAATTTAAAGACTACAGAGACGCCGTTAAAAATTGTGCTTAATACATAAAAAAAAACATATTGCTCAAACCACGATACGTGGATGCATATAAATTTCGAACAAATATTTTCAAAATTAGGCCATTTCATTCAGGCAAACTCTTCTGTTCATAAGGTAATTAATGCACATGCTCTACATGAACTCCTCTCAATTTTACCACGACGAGACGACTCGGACTGCGACAATACATCTACGCTATTTGGCGACAACTAAACGGAGGGCACCATAAAGTGTGGTCATACTGAAGCGAATATTGTAGCTCTAGTTTACGCGGGTCTGTGCGACGCTACCAAATTCCCAATGCAATCCACTACCGGTGATGCAACACATAACATATTACCAGACAGGTCCCGTTACGATGACGGTCAAATGGGAAATGACGAATATTTCAATGTGCGTATCACAGACCCACCTTCCCAACCGAATTTGTCGATAGAAGATTTGTTTGGAGAAAATCCAATCGCTGGCTACCTCGATTCGAACGGGATACATGACGATGTTGAAACTATCGATTGAGGAATTTTCAGTGAACTATTTTCTAGTGATATCGTACGAACGTCGCTAGATATGGCAATGCAAATCCCAGTTCCGACTAAACATCCCGACGACGACAACGACGACGACGACGACGTCATCGTAAGACCCGATACGAGCCTCCAACGAACGTTACCACCGACGAATACGAAAAAAAGGAGATCCGATACGCCCCAACACTCACCCGAATTCGACGGGACTGACGATAGCTCCAAAAAAAATTACGTACTACCGTAGATAGTGAGGCCGACGACGAACTTACAAGCAGCGATATTAAAAAAATTGAGGAGCTCGTGAAGCAGCTGGGTAGTTTACAAGATGAAAGACTTGAAATATCCAACGAAAACGAACAATTAAAAGAACGGGTAGAAGTACTGTCTCGAGATAAAAACGATCAACAAGTATCGCGCGAACAGCTGGAAAGCGAAGTCAGTCACAGTCACTCTGCTTTGGAGACTGCTAATAAAGCGATGCAAGAGTTTGTAGTACGATCTCAAAACACGGAACAATTGAACGAAACGTTACAACAACAACTGTCAGAGACGACCGTAAAACTACGTGAACGAGACGAGATGTTATTGAATTTAAATCAACAGATTGAAAACCAGCAACAGCTGATCGCACATCAAGGTTCGTTACGCGAAAGTTATGAAACTGAATGCAATCACCAACAAGATACTTTGACGAATTACGAGAAAACTATCGAACGCTTAACAAATGAACAACTTATCATGACACGGCGTTTGGACGGGGAACATTTACAGGCCCGAGAGAAGATCAAGTCTTTAGAAACGGCCAATAAAGAGTTGGCATTGAGGATACTTCAATATGAAACCGACGTTCTTCAAAAAGAATTGGACTCCAAACAAACAATCGACTCTTTAGATACGACCAACCGACAGTTAGAGAGAGAATTCAACTCTTTGAAAACGGAGAACCAACAGTTCAAATCAAAACTCGTTTCTCTAGAAACGACAAACAGAGAGTTGCACGAAAGAATAAAGGAGAGGGAACAACAATTAGAAATTGAAGTGAACAGCTGTAAAGAACTCTCAGTCCGTAACAATGATAAACAGGAAAGACAAATAAAACAGTTAGAGGGTAAGGTGGAAGAACAAAACACTCTGATTACAACTTTTAATCGCAACGCGGACATTGTGACGGCCGAAAAGGAAAGTTTACAGGACCGAGTCGCCGGATTGCAAGAGGAATTAAGAAATAGTAGGTCACGACTTAACGACACTGGAAAACGGTTAACGGACGACGAAAGAAAAATAAAACAGATAGAGGTAGAAAACGCGTCTTTACGGGGTAAGGTGGAAGAACAAAACACTCTGATTACAACTCTCAATCGCAACGCGGACATTATGACGGTATCCGTTGCTAAAAAGGATTCTCGTATACAAGGTTTGCAGGAACGAGTCGCCGGATTGCAAGAGGAATCAAGTAGGTCTCGGCTTAGTAACGACGACACTGGAAAACAGATAACGGACGACGAAAGTCGAATGAAAAAACAGTTAGAGGTAGAAAACGCGTCTTTACGGGGTAAGGTGGAAGAACAAAACACTCTGATTACAACTCTCAATCGCAACGCGGACATTATGACGGTATCCGTTGCTAAAAAGGATTCTCGTATACAAGGTTTGCAGGAACGAGTCGCCGGATTGCAAGAGGAATCAAGAAATATGTCTCGGCTTAACGACACTGGAAAACAGTTAACGGACGACGAAAGTCAAATGAAACAGTTAGAGGTAGAAAACGCGTCTTTACGGGGTAAGGTGGAAGAACAAAACACTAGAATTACAACTCTTAATAGCAACGCGGACATTATGACGGTATCCGTTGCTAAAAAGGATTCTCGTATACAAGGTTTGCAGGAACGAGTCCTCGTGTTGGAGAACGAGAACGAAACATGTAAACATCGTTACGATGACGAGATTCGACAACTGAAGAGAGATCTCGACAAGTTTCAGTCAACTGAGTCGCGGGAAAAGAGGCACGAAAAAGCGCACGAATTACAAACAGATACCTTAAGAACTTTGATCAATAAACAAAATTCAGTCGGTGAAAAACGAAACAAACAAATTTTAAGCTTGGAGAATAATGTCAGTGAATTAAAGGCGAAGTCAGCGACCGACCGATCAGAAATTGAAAGACTTAAAAAAGAACTCGATGAATGTAGAAGAAAAATAGAAAATGCAAAGGTGAATAAAAATGAATTGTGTAGTCAACATGACGATTTACTGAAACAAAATATGGAATTGGAAAAAAGGCTAGGCGACACCGCCCATGAAAAGAGTACCGCCGAACGACTACGTCAAATCATCGAAGATTGAACTACGAATTGACGAATCAAAAACGGCATCTCGAAAACAGCAAATTTGAAATTGAAGCATTACGCCAATCTAATATGCAATTGTCGGATAAGTTAACTAGTCAGAAACGTGCTATTGAAAGTAAAAATAACGACCTGGAAACATTACGTAGCGCAGAAATGACGGAAAGGTTACGTTTACAGGAGAGGCGTTTATATGGCGAAATGCAGACACAAACAGACACAATAGATATTTTACAGAAAAAATTAGAAAGACTCGATATATCCAATAAAACGTTGATGAATGATTTATTGAAAACAACAACAAAAAAACAATTGTCAAATAATAATAATAATAACGCGACTACATGTTCGAGATTTATTCCCCTGTACACTTCGGTATCACGCTGCCGAGCACCTTCCCGTGACATTACTGCTGTGGCCAATATTCTTATGTGCGACTCGGCTAAATTCACTTATAATAGTCTGTTGGAAAAGACGCGTTTATTTCTAGAATATCACGATCATATTTTGGGCAATCATCGTCCGAACGGCGGCGGCGACGACGACGACGACGACGACGCCGTTGAATTACTTCGCGAAACGGCTTCGAAATGTGCTCGTGGAACTTCGTCGGAAGTATTGAAATTTTACCCGGTCGTAATACCGCATGATGTTAACGGCTGTACTGGAACGATGTTCAGAATAATACTTCTACTGTCACTAACTCCCAATGTCCAATTTGTAAAAAGAAATGAAGCTATGATACCTCTATGTTTTTTCGCGACACCGGGAGTGGCGTTGAAATTCGATGACGGCTTAGCAAAATATGTCATTGTTATTAAAAAACGAGAAAGTCTGACGTCGCTCGTGGAATGTGTTCGTTCTATTCTCAGACACAACGTTACTAACGACACGAGTCAAATTACCGTCAGTTGATTTTTAGTTGAATTCAAAGTGTCAGCGATATGTACCTGTTCACCACCACCCCAGTATAGATTCACGTCGACGATTTTACCCGCGTTTACTACGTTCCAACAGACACGCAGTAATTCTACCAGGTGACTCGCCACCCATATGTATCGAACATTTGGAGGTTTTTGTATATACGAATTTAAACTTCCGTGTTGGTACCACTCCATTGTCGTCATACGCTGCCACATAGAGACTGCGTCTTCTACGAGTTTCACGCACGTGAGATGAGATGTACATTCCCCCGTCCATGCGCAACAATGTTGTTGTTGTTGTTGTTGTTGTTGTGTGTGTTTTTTTTTCGTAGCCACGATCGGCCGGTGGTGACTTGACGTGAATAAATACGTGGGTTTCTAATAAAATGTACATCTCCCGACGTTCGATGCTCGAGTCAAACCATTTCAATCGAATGTCCCTTGCAAGTAAATCCCAATCTTTATCGAATTGATCTTTTAATCGCAAATACCGTTCAACAACGGAGTCTGAAATTTCTCCGTTATTGCATTTCTCTTGAAAGAGCGAGTCCCTCAAATAAGCATGTCTTAGCGTTAAATACTCATTTAGTTCGTCGGAGTCCATCGTGCTACTATGCGGCC